CCCCCCACCCTATTCCCCCTCGGGAATTTGAATTTAATAACAGGAAAGACATATGAATGGCGGCTATGTTTGTTGATATCACAAAGGACATTAAGGCTCATGTAGCGACATCAAAGATGACCGCCTTGTAGACCATTGTTTTAATTAGGTTAAGTTCGACTTTTGACCTGAGCCTTCTAGAGAAATCTTTTGTTAAACTCAACCAAGATTCCAGTGGTAGCTTGTTTCAAATTCTTTGGGTGCAACCACATGACTCAAAATCCCTTGAGATATACACACCTAATTTTAAAAACGTTGTCATCGCCAAAGGCAATAGGTCTTTCCGAAATGGAAATGGTTTCGTTGAATACAAAAAACATCGAATCAGTCTCATCACGAATGTCCATGTTGTTGACGAGAATAACAATAAGAAACACAAGTCATTCCAGCTATTCTTGGATCTTGGAATGACATATATCTTATCGCTTTTCGCGATGACAACGTTTTTTGAATTAGGTGTATACAGTCACCTGAAAAGCTATGAAGCTGAGGCCGACAAGGATTATGGGTAAATTCATTTTACACGTTTAACCGCTTGATAACTGTTCATGGACTCGCGAATCTTTTACCGGTTACAGTCTCACCTCTTCTGAGCATCATCGAGCTGCAGTTTGTATTAAAAAAGCTTTGTRTATATATGCTTTTTTGATATGAAAAGTTTCCCATGATGCTCAGTGATCTCAGCTTTCTAGGTTTTTGGTGACAAACTTTATTGAAATAAGTGTATATATGAAAGAAAAAGAAACAACCTGCCATCTTGGTTGATCTAACGAGAAAAACTAATGAGAAATCGGCTTTGTATAGTCAACCAACATGGCGGCTATGACGTGTGTGCACCTCAAGGATTCAAGAGGGTGCTCATGGTTTTACCTAAAATTAGTAGAAAACAGTTAACTGATATTTCTTTCTTTCTTTCTTTTTTTAGGTTAATATTATAACCATTGCTTATAAAATTATTACTTTTGGAAAAAATAGAAATAATTTTATAAGCAATGGTTATAATATTCCCAAAAAAAAAAAAAAAAAAAAAGAAAGAAAGAAAAAAGGAAATACTGACATTCGAGCGAAAAATTAGTAGTTAAATGACAATTGGGTACTCCCACTGGCACCCTTATACAACGATCAACACATTTATTGTATAGGAAACAGGAAGGCCGCGAGTAGCTTCATAAGGCCTTGAATCGTAAAAACTAACCTACGCCCCCGATAGGTCATAGCTAACGAGTCACGCTGATTGAACAGGTGATATATTGCGACATACATGCCATTATGATTTATCCGTGCGGTATTCCGTAAAACGTGAACTGAATTAACCACGCTTGAACCAAAATCTGAGCTATGGAAGTAGTAGTATATCAAGTCCTAGCTACTTAGATTTATTATACGGGACGAGTTTGGCTTTAGAGAAGATATATTTATGACATAAGTATCCCGTCGTTGTGAAGCCAAACGTTGAAAATCAATGTTTTTTGAAGAAAACTCTTTTAAATCATCGAGATTTTTGATTTAGATAGTATATGTGACTTTCTAATGCATTTGAAAGCATTTGAAATTTTGAAAATGCACCCAAACTAGAAACCAAGGCTTTCAAGATGTCGCAGGGAACTGTGAAGGGGCGGACTATTGCTACAATCATATTAATCGAAGATAGAGAAAGCCTTTCTGTAAAGATCGTTAGACTCAAACTATTTGAATAATTCTTGGCCGCAGGGCAAGCTATATGTGATCGAACTAACTAAATGAGGATGAGACAAGGGCGAAAAAGGCTTTCCATTCCACTTAATTCATGATTAATCATCAATTGAAAATCACGTCTGATTATGGTATTAAAAGAACAAAAGCTTCAAGAAAGAGGGGGTGATTTACGAATATGTGCGTTTTACGATAAGACTATATTTCATCAGTTCTCATCTTATTTTCTTCAAGAGAAAAACGATGTAGAGTTGACGGATAATTGAAAATTTATTTGATTCATGGAAATGCACCTGCACCTGTTTTATTAAGATAGTTGTAGAGCCTTTCGTGCTAACTTTCACATCTTAAAACGACATCAATTTATACCTTTATCTCCAAGGCCACATAATATTTGTTATATACCAAAGGTCGAAGTCCATTTTTTTCGTACTATGATTTGGCGAAAGGATATCACGTGAACGTAAACAGGTTTTGAAGTTTCCCCGGCAACGGCTCTCAGCGTACAACAATATGTTGTTGACCGGTAATGACTGTACCGAAAGTGATTTTCACGGAAATGTAAGTTTTCCCAAATTTTACAAAATTGAATAATCAAATACGTAATCAAATATTTTTTTGTTTTCTTTGACATTTTGGTATATGACAAAACACTTATTGACGGGAACCTCGGGAAAGCAGTGTGTTTTGTGGTCCCTCGGCTTCGCTTCGTGAAACATCACCTTCTCGGGACCACGTCCAAAACACACTGTTTCCCTCGGTCCCAGTCTATAATTATAAGTGTTAAATATATGCCATTAACTGTATATCTCATATCAGTCAGTGCGGCGCGTAATATAGTTCTTCTTTTATTCGGTCTTCAAAAACAGCGGTTTGCATCAAATACGAAACTGGTGTATTGTTTTTGTCTAGCTCAGGAGGTTTAAATTTGGTCGGGAAACACAGGTGGCGTAGCGGTGAGATTACTCTTCTCTCACCAATGCGACCAGGTTTCAAGCCCCGTTGGGCTCGGTGTCGTGGAGTAGAGTTTGTTGGTTCTCTCCTGTACTTCCAGGGTTATTCTCCGGATTTATCAATTTTCTTCCCCACCCCTCCCCCCATAAATCAACTGAAACGAGGGCCACAGGCTTGCTTGCCGCTGGCTATTAAGTGCTACCCTCGTAAAAATAAGGACGGTATGCTAAGGAGTGATTCCGTCAGAGGTGGGGTAGGGATCCAGAGCAAAGTCTCTCTTCAGGAGTGGGGTGGGGTCCGTATAGTGAATTCAGGAAAATAGTCTCATGCTAAAATCTCATGTTCGCTTCATTTCAGGGACACTTCAGTTTTGGATCTTGGTGTTTTTCTTCTGGCATAAAGAAAAAATCGGCAGGTCTTCACAAAATGTACGCAAGTAACACAATCATCTTGTCATGAAAGGTTAGCTCTAGCACTGTGCTAAAAGGAATAACGCATTCAACAGCTGAGCGTGACTTAACAGAATTCACTTAACACCTTGGTTGTATTACACTTGTGTAACGCATTTTACAAACGACAAACGAGCGTAATTTCGTTCTGTTACTCTGAGTAACGCATTCCACGACCAAGCTTTTGTTACGCTCTATTTCGGATTCTTTCATCGAGTGTGACTTAACAGGATTTGATAAGAAACAACTTCTTTGTGTTATTGTGAGTAACGCATTTCTCAACCAGGCGTGACTTGATCCATGGATTTTGCTATGAATACATCGGTTGCGTTACACTGTGAGTCCTGGTCACTGATCGATGACGTAGGCAAGATTGATGACTTCGTCATTACCATCGTCATCACGTGCATCATCAATGGACTATTCATTCTACCCGCGTTAATACTCAACGGTATTATAATTATCGCGATCATCAAGACTCCGTCACTACGCAACCCGTCAAACTGGTTGCTCAGCAACCTAATATTTACTGACTTCTTAATGGGCTTTCTCGGGCAACCGCTGTACATAGTGATTAACATCTGGAGGGTACAAGGGGTGTTGTATGAACATTGTCCCACGGGAATTGCTGAACGCATTTTCACCAACATTCTCCCACTTTCACTCATGTTGACTCTCTCCGTTTCAAGCCTCGATCGATACCTCGCTATACGTCTAATGCTGCAGTACCGCACGACTATGACGTCATTCCGTGCCATAATCATAATAGTTACGCTCTGGGTGTTTGCTATGTTGTGCGGTTTATCACTATTTTTCATGGGACAGAAAGGTTTTGTGATATTACTAGCTATTATTTTTATGATTTGTTTGCTGGTTACCTTCGTTGCGTATTTCAAAGCTTTCCATGGGTTACGAAAGCACCAAACGCAGGTCAGTTCCCCTGACAATGTCTCCACTGTCTGCATCAATGTCAAGAAATACCATCGATCGTTCACTACGATGCTCTGTGTATTTCTACTCCAACTTCTATTCTACACACCAGACATCTGTGCAAAGTTTTTCTCTGTCGACCAAACTACGCCTAAATCTTCTTTGATTGCAACTTTGGTTTCTGATACCATAATGTATGCTAACGCGACTTTGAATCCCCTGTTTTTCCTTTGGAGAATGCGTGACGTGCGTCGAGCTTGTAAAAACTTGTATAAAAAAATATTCAGAAAATGAAGTAAGGTTTGATTGTAACCTTGGTTTCTGAAAATATTCAGAATATGAAATAAGGTTATTAACATTGGAAAATGTGTGATCTACGTCCAAGCTTGCAAAAACCTTTATAAGAAAATACTGAGAAAATGGAGCAAGATTATATACATTGCACAAGAATGGAAAGGCCAATATTCCAGGAGTGGAGAGTCTGTCCCAGTTTAACGATTTCCTTGGTCTCCAGCCAATCACAATAATAATGCACGAAAGACGTGCGTAATTTAAAAGACAGATACAAAGATGAGTGCATGAGATCAATTCTCATAATGATTGGCTCATTCAATAGAAAGAGTTACAAAAACTACGGTGCATTAGTCTCCTACGCAGGTTACTCCATATTATCAAATAACTGTTATAAACTTCGCGTTCTGATTGGTTGGGAGCGCGTGCTTTATGAGAGCACACAGCACACGCGCGCACTTTCAGTTGCGTCATTCTATCTAAAAATAACAGTTATTGTAATTTGTATTTCATAAAAGAAAAAAACTTGCTTGCTGTGATGTGTGTAGTATAAAGCACTTGGGGATTGGCAGAACAATTGAGAAGTGTCAAGAAGCACTCCTCTACGCGTCGTGCTTCTCCTAACACTTCTCTCGTGTTCTGCCAACCCCGCGTACTTTATACCTGTACAAGGCACGCGCTCGGGATTCCTGTGTTCAATTTGGCAGAGAGGAACTGGAATGAGAGAGATAGAGAGAGAGAGAAA